TGAAATACTCTGCTGAGGGGAGCAGCGGGGAGACAGGAGAGGTCTGCGCGCCATGTGGGATTCTCGCTGGCCAGCCGGGATCGAACCCGCACTGCAGAGGCTGCGGACAGCTTCACAGGCTGCACTCAACCTGCTGCGCCACCGGGGAGGCCCCTGGACACGGGTCTTGACGACACAGCCATCATGCTGAAGAGGAGAGGCGGCCGGGGCAGACATGCGAGAGGCCAGGTGAGCACACGCAGAAAGATGCCGTCTACCTGCCCAGGACAGACCCTTGACACTCCTGCGGGACCCGCCCCGCCAGGCCCAGGACTCAGGCGGGCGCCCTCCTGGCCAGTGAGGCCCACAGTGCCTGGTGTCCAGCCCCACCCCTCAGTGGTGCTGCCCCTGCTGCAGGGGGCCAGAGGGCTGCCCCCTCCATTGCCTTTTCTGAGAAGACCTGGCCCCCAAGACAGTGCTCTGGAAGCCATTCTGAAGACAACTCTGTGTGTGTGTGTGTGCGTGCATGTGTATATGCACACGTGTGTATGTGTGCATGTGTGAGTGCACACATGTGTGCATGCTTGTATGCGTTTGTATATGTCTGTGTACAAGTGTGGCTGCACATATGTGAGTGTGTATCTGCATGTGCAGGCAAGTACATGTGTGGTGTCAATTGTGTGCACACACATGCACTTATGTGTGAGTGTGGTTGTGCCCTGCACGCACATGCATTCACAGTGCAGTTCACATAATGCTGATCTGTATGTGCACATGTGTTTCTGTGTATGTGCATATGTGTGTGTACAGGTGTGTTTTGCGCAGGAATCTTCACGACGCCCCCGGTGCAGGGACCGCATGCCCTCATGGGACGGAGAAGCATGTCACTTCCCCCAGAGCTGGTCTGCACAGCCCTTACTTTTCACCCCACTCACCAAGTGGGGACACCGTCAATTTCCTTTATGGAAAAAGCCCAGAAATGAGCACTCTTAGGCAGACATCACTGTCCCCAACCGCTCAGCAATTTTTAATTCCCAGCCTGAGGTCTGAGGCTGTCTGAGTGTGGTGTCTGTTCTCTACAGCCACTGTAGTGGGCAGCTGTGGGGGACAGCCAGGGGCTTGGCCCACCCTGGGTGTGACCTGGCCACTCCTGGCAGCTTTTCCAAAGGCGCATGGACCCCGAGCCTGGCAGCTCACTGCTGGCCTCAGGACAGCAGCTCCTGACCCCATGGGGTGCAGTTTGCTCCCTGAACCATGAATCCGCTGCTGTGATGCAGCGAGGTGCCGAGCTGGCCAAGCTGGGCACAGGGCAGACCAGCTTCCTCATGGCCTTGAGGCGGTCCAGGCACATGGCTGGTTCTGAGAGGCAGGGGGAGGAGTTAGGACTGTCTTTAGAGGCCTTCAGGTCCCTGCACCTGACTGTGTCTAACTAATCAAAGTGGGGGCACCTGGCAGGTGAACTGAAGTGAGCTGAGTTAAGGTGTCCCTGCGGCCTCGAGCGCCTCTGGCTCACACCATCACAAGCAGGGTGACTCTGTAGCCCCAGCCTGGAGGGGAGGCCAGCGAACCCCAGGACACTCCTCATGCAGGACCCCACCATCACCAGGGTGGCCCTGAGATCGCCTGAGTGTCGCCCTGGGCCTGCTGTAGGCACCTGTGCGGCCCACAACTGGGAGTGGGTTTTTGGTCAAATCTTTCAGTTCTGGCTGCCCCACCCCAAGCAGGCGTGGCAGTCTTCTGTTTCGGTTTAGTGCAGGATCGAGGATATAGATTATGGTATAAATATGCACAAGCTGCAAAATTTCTGGGGCTCCCATTGTGCCCCCCACCCCACCTCACAGACAAGAGAGGAAAACCAATACGGACTTGTCAGAGCAGACCACAGGGACCTGCTGTCTGAGAGCAGCGGCCTGCCACCACCACTGATGACCAAGGAGCTGCGCAGAGAAGTTTAACTGCGGGCACCAGCCTGCGCGTGTCTGCGGGGCATTCTCTAGAAAGGGTGATGTGAAACCCTGCACTGCCTTCCTCTAGCTCAGCCTAGTTAGGGCAACTTAGAAACAAAGGCTCCCCCACCCCCAAGAACAATCACATTTTTATGTTAGTGCCGCTCACTGTCCCCACCCCGTAAGCTGAATGAATTCACACGGGTGTTTGTCAGGACAGCGCTCGCAGAGTCACATCTGCCAGACGGCTTCCTGGGTGCAACCTCACTTGATGATCTGACAAACCCTCTGTCTACCTGTCACTAGACTTGGTTTCCGGTTATCACAGACTTTTAACATTTTCACCAGTTCATTGAAGAAGTGCAGGGACGTTTCATGTAGTCACAGAGAAGCAGAAGAGCAACCTCAAGTATGCGTCCTGACAACAGGGAAGCAGGAAGCCGCGCCTGTGCCATCTCTACACAGGAGAAATGGCCGAGGCCTTCCTATGCCCACTTACTCCACCAAGCGGAACCTGCAGGGCAGCAAAGGGACTGACCACCAGTGGGGAAGGCCTCACGAAAGGACTGAACCGTTTCCTCCCATGAGATAAAGCCAGCTGTTCCAGTGTGTGCACGACACGGCAAGCAGGCCTCGCTGAGCGTTGCCACAAGACCCTTAAGCTTCCCTGTGATTTCTCTGCCTGGAAAGAAACAACATCAGCTCAGCTCAGCAAGTCAGGGCGAGCAGTTATGACGGGGAAAGCCAGCCTGTCCTCACTTTGCGTAAGAGAAACAAATCCTAAAACAGAACTGTCAACAGATGGAGCAGCGAATGTGGAATGCGGTGATTTTTGCCTCGTAAAGTAATTATTGGCCCGGGAGGCTTCTCCGCGAGCGTCGGATCAGGTGCCCGGCCTGCCTTCCCGGAGCCTGCTACCTCCCGGCACGGACATACCTGGGCAAGGGCAGTGTGTGCCACCAGCAGTCTGCAGGCAGGAGCCCAGAAAGGGAGGAAAGACACAGGGCGAGTCCTTCCCACACAGAACCCCAAACATCAGTGGCTTTTTGCTATAGAATGGGGACCCTACATCACGGCTTTTGCCTGTGTTAATAAATGGGAGAGGCGACGAGACTGAATCAGCATTTAAAGAAGTTGCTGATATTTTAAACACAGCATTTCAGATGTTTTAAACACCAGGATTGAGAAAGGATAACCTGACATTATGTGCCAGTCGAGGCAGAGTTCAGTTCAGTAAGATCTTGAAATTAAGAAATTGCAATATTGATAATATTTTCAGCAAGGAAGTCCCTTCCCTGGCAAGCCGCACGCAGAATCTTGATTTGCTTACAAAGAAAGGGGCGCACCACCAGGCCCTGCCTATTTCTAGAACAGTCCCTGGGCTCCGAGGCACCTACGTCCGCAGCAGAAACACCAACACAGGAAGTGTCTACCTTGCTCAGGCAAATCTCATTTTTAAAAAACTTCCTCCTTTGAGCCCTTCGTTTTCCTGAACCTTTCAAAGCGCAGGCTGTGGTCAGAGGTCGCCGGAGCCATGTGTCTGAGACAAACGAGGGTCCCCTCCCCTGGTCCCCAGAGTCACTTCCACTGAGGAGAATAGGGCAGGTGACAGCCGCTGATGAGCTCAGGCTAGGGGCCACACCTCTGCAGAACATTCTCCCACGTTCTATGTATAAATGAAGTTTGAAAATGAAATGAATGGAATCCCCAACCTCGGGACAAGCAGCCGAGGACAGGATCCGGGACGCAGCTGGACAGGGAGGCTGACCCCCTCGGGCCGAGCTGCCCCCAGAGGTGCCATCCGCCAGGCTCCCCGCTCTACAAACAAGCGGACCCCGAGCCTGCGGACACACGGCTGCGGGCAGTTACTTGGTAACGGCAGCCAGGACTGGACCGCAGGGCCCTCGCCCCGGAGCTGGGTGCTGTTTGCTCGGGGTGTCAGGGCCCCCCTCCGGCGAGGCTGGCGGGACGCTCACTCTGTGATGAGTGGGAAAGACCCTTCAGTGAAGAGACAGGGCAGGTGACAGGGACCGGCAGCTTCGGCTATGCCGGCTGCCGAAAGAGCGATTTGAGGTCATTTGGGGGCTTTTGCACAAACCAATACTTCTTCATAGATTTACAAGACACCCGTGAAAATGAGGCTTGCTAAGGAATGTTCATCTTGAATCAGAAAACAGCAACCACCTTGAAGGACATCAAGAGCATCTCGGGGGGTGCCCGGGCCATCACGCCCCTGGAGCCCGGTGGGGTCTAGCTCAGAAGACCCACTTACCCCCCCTCTCCAGGGCTCTGGCGAGAGACTCAGGAGCGCAGCTTGCCCCTGGGTCCGCCTGCTGTCACAAGTCTGTGGTCCCAGGGAGGAGGCGGCCCGGGGTCACCAGCAGGCCAGAGGCCGACACAGGTGGGCGCCCCGAGACCCTGACAAGCACGCGGCAGTCCTGGGCGGCAGGTGCCCGCGCTCCCCTGACAGTCTGGCCCTGGCGCCTGAGCACCGCGCCCACCTCACCCTGGGGCGCGGGATTTCTCAAGAGCAACGTCGTCACCTGTGCACCAGATGCTGCTCGGAAGGGGCAGCGAGCTGGGGGCAGCTCCACGGGGGGGGGGGGCTGGCCCTCTGCAGACACCCCGTGCACTGCCAGCACCCCGGGACTCTGGGGAGGAGACGGGTGGCGCGCGCGCACGTGTGTGTGTGTGTGTGGGGAGAGTGACAGGCCAGGCTGGACGCACCCGTCCTGCGGTCACCGAGATTCTGGGGGCTGGAGGCGAGGAAAGCGCCAGGGCAAGGAGGGAGGGGGAAGGGCAGGGAAGGAGCTTGGGGGACACTGGGGGAGGGGGAGGGGGCACTGCGCCAGGGGTGGAGGGTCGTGGAGGACGAGCTGTTCGGATGGCGCCTGGTGCGGGCGCAGGGGAGGAAGGTGGGACGAGGCGCAGGGGAGGAGGGTCTGGGGAGGGGGAGGCCTCTGGACAGGTGGGGCGCGGGGCGGCCAGGGGCTGGGAAAGTGGGGGAAAGACCTCGGCCTCGCGCTGCCCGGCCCCGCGCCCGCGCCCCGCGCGCCCCCGCCGGCGCGGCCCTACCTGGCCCTTGACGAGGCTGGCGGCGAACTGGCGCATGACGGCCTCCACCGTGTAGGCGCTGGACCAGCCGCGCGGCGTGAGCAGCTCCATGCAGATGGCGCCGCCGTCCAGCACGTAGCCGTTCTCCAGGCGCGGGCTGAGCACCCGCATGAAGGGCGGCGAGAAGGGGAAGTTGTCGGGGAAGGTGAGGTTGAGCAGGATGAACTCGGTGTTGGTCTCCTTCATGTCCTGCCACAGCACCGAGTCCTTGTCCACCTGGTGCAGCTTCACGTTCCAGTCGAAGAGGCTCTCGTCCACCAGCTCCACGGAGATGAAGCGGTCGCTGAGGCGCGCGATGTCCTGCAGCTCCTTCATGAGGCGCCGGCTGCGCACCTGCGTGCAGTGCTGCTGGCGCGCGCTGGGCACCGGGCCGCCGCCCGCCGCCCCCGCCGGCCCCGCGGGGCCCGGCCCCGCCCTGGCGCCCGCCGCCCGCTCCCGCGGGCCCCCCGCGCCCGCCGCGCCCGCCGCGCCCGCCGGGGGCCGGTCGCGCGGGGCCGGCTCCGCCGCGCGCCGGCCGGGGCGCTGGCCCGGCCCGGGGCTGGCGGCGGCCGCGCCCGCGGGGGCCGGCGGCGGGGGCTTGTGGCCGCCGCTCTTGGCGCCGCCCTTGCCGCGCAGCGACGCGCTGAGCTGGCCGCCCGCGCCGCGGTGGTGGTGGTGGTGCTTGGGGTCCTCGGTGTCGCGGTTGTGCAGGCGGATGAGCCCGATCTTGCGGAGCAGCGTGGCCATCTTAGGCGCGGCGCCCGCCCCGGCGCGGGACGCCCCTCGGCTCCGGCCCCGGAGCCCGAGCGCCGGCGCGCGGGGGGCGCGGGGCGCGCGGGGGGCGCGCGGGGCGCGGGGCGCCGGCGCCGGGCGACCCCTCGGCGGCGCGCCGGGCGGGCCCCCTCCGGCGCGGGCGGCCGTGGCGCAGCGGCGCGGGCGGCACGCGCGCCGGCCGGCCGCGGGGCGACGGCGGGGCCCGCGGGGCTCGGCTCGGCTCGGGCTCGGCTCGGGCCCCGCGGCGCGCGGGCGGGAGGCGCGGGCGGCCGCCCCGGCCGGTCTGCGGCGCCGCCCCCGAGCCCGGCTCCGCGGTCCTTTGTGCGCGGCGGCCCCGCGCGGGCCTCGAGTCCGGCGCCGCGCCCCGCGGGCAGCGAGGGGGCCGCGGGGGGCCCGCCGGGCCGTGCGGCGCGGGCGGCTACCGCGGGGCCCGGGCCGCTGGCGCTCGCGTCGCCGGCGCTGCGGCTGCTGACATCGCAGAGGCGGCCGCTCGGTCTGAGCCCGGCGCGGCGCGGCGCGGAGGGGCGGCCCTGCCGGCCGGGGGGGCGCGGGGCGGAGCCGCGGGCTGGCCTGCGCCGAGCCGCCCCCGCCGCCCGCCCGCCCGGCTCCGCCGCGACTCGCGCCGGCCGCTGGGGGGAGACCGCGGCGCGCGGGCCGGGCCGGGCCGGGCGCGGGGCGCGGGGAGCGGGGCGCGGGGCTGCGGCTCACGGCGCCCCCGGCCCGAAAACGGGGGGGCGGGAGGGGCGCGAGCGCGGAGCGGCGAGCGCGCGCGCGGGGCGGGGGCGCCTCCGAGACGCGGGTCTTTGCGCCCCGGATTCCGACTCGCCGAGGCCCCGGCGCGCGGCTCGACCTCGCTCAACCTCGGAGGAGCGATCCCGAGAGGGGGGGCCGGGCGGGGAGCGCGGGTCGCTCCCCGCGGATCGGGGGGCGCCGCCTGGCCGGGCCGGGCGCGCGGGGACCCGGCGCGGCGCCCTCCCGCAGGCTGCCCGGGGGCCCGCGGCGAGCGGGGCCGGGAGGGGACACCGGGGTCCGCCCGCCCGGCCCGAGTCGGTCTCCCAGCGACGCCCTTGCAGGGAGGACGGTCCGCGCCCCGCCCCTCCGCGCGCCCCGCTCCCCGCTCCCTCCGGCTCGCCTCGCCGGGGGTCCCGGGGTCCGGCGGGGGGCCGGGCAGCCCCTGCGCGCGGGCGCTCCAGCGCTCCCTGCAGCTGCGGGCAACGCGGGCGCCACTGGACCCCGGGAGCCCGCGTGCCCCGGAGGCGCTGGGAGCCCCGGGCGCGCTGACCCCCGCGCCTTGCCCCGGGGTGCTGCCGGCTCCTCTCGCTTTTGTCCCTTACGCCACGGAGCCGCCCTCGCAGCGGGTGGAATTTCCAGCGGAAAGCGTGCGCCCCGGAGTCCGCAGCAGCCGGGGCACCCCCCCGGCCCTCCATGTTTGCGGGGCCACCTGCTTCGAAACTGGCAAGGCGCGGGGAGAGGCGGTGGTGGCCCCTGAGTTCCCTTGTCACCCCAAATGCCTTGGGACCCTGCCCTGCACCAGCGCCTCCGGGGCTCCGAGCCGCGGCAGGTGGCGTTTTCCTGCCCTTGTCATTTTTTGCTGTTACCATTTTCCCTGTTCCCAAATGACTGAAAAGATTCGCTGTGGAAAAAGAGCTCTTTGGTCTCTCTGGAGACCAGTTGGAGGTTCCGGGGTTCTCTACCGGGACAGCCAGGCGCCAGCATCACGGTCGCCAGCGCTGTGGGGGGCGCGGGGGCGCCCGCTGTGCGGTCTCCCCTGGAGAGGCGACTGCATCGGAGGCGCGGCCTGGCCGGAGCAGGTGGGCTGGGCGCGCAGGGCCGAGGCGCGGGGGCTGTGCCCGCGGGCGGGGGTGCGTTCTCGGAACTGGGGGGGATGGGGGCCTGCGGGGCTGGGGGCCGTTACTAGGGTGACCCCAGAATCTAATGTCTGAATGCCGGGCTTTTTTCCCTTAAATAAAAGGGTAATACTGACGCTGGTCGGAGAGGCCAGAGCTGACACCCCCGGAGCGCGAGGTCATCGTCCTGACCCCCACCCAGGCCTAAGCGCCTCTTTCTGGGCCCGGGGCAGCTGTTGGTCAAAAATCGGAAACAAGCTGGACGTGCAGGGGCGGGAGTGTTCCCTGATCCACCCCGGCAGAGCGGGTGGCCAGGCCACTGTGGCAAGGGTGACTATGTTGCAGAATGAGAATATTTATGATCTAGGTGGTAATTTTAAGTGAGAATAGAGATTGCAGATTGCATCCGCGCAGAAGCTACAAGTGTTATAGGGCAGCCCCGATATTGAACGGGTGCCTGGCTGTGGGTCCTCACCCGCGCGCTTACAAGGGACTTATGAATACTCCACGGCAGGACACACAGAAGGTTCATGAAAGGTTTATTGACAAGGGAAAAGGAAATAAGGAAAATGCACAACTCAGGGAGAAAATAGGGAAATAAAGTCTTTCATGCGTCCTACCCGATCTGCCGACCTGGAAACCCAAAGGCACTCTCCGAGCTGGCCGGACGCTGCGAGCTGGCAGAGAGCGGCCAAAATGGGGGACCCCCCCCCAAAGCCCACGTGTCTGGCTTTATCCCAACCTGGCTGCTGAACCCCACCCTCAGGTCCCAGCCACCTTCCCTTGGGTGGGGACGGGGTGTGGAGTTCCCAGTGTCTTTGGCTTTGGCCTGGGGTGGGGGTGGCGTCCACAAAGCCTGTGTGGAATCAGCTTTAGGACCGCCTTTCCCCCTAACACAAGGACGTGAAACCGTGTAGGAAAAAAGGCCGCAAGGAGGAAGCTGGAGTGATCACCTTGGTGGTGGTGGGTCTCACCCTCCAGCCCCAGCCCTGCGCCTGCATCCGCTTCAGTGACAGGATGGTCGGGGCAGTGGCAGGAAGAAGGGCCTGTATTTGTGAACCTTCCTCCTCCCATTCCAGAAGGTTCTAGAAAGTTTCACTTCTCCAGAGCCGGGAACAGATACTACCCGGCCCAATGTTGTGTAGAGGTTGCTATGGTTGTTTTTTAATTGATTTTTGAACGTCGATTAGGTTTACAAAGTCCTGACACTTGAATGGAAGGCATCTGGTTAAATAAAACAATCTCAAGGACCGTGTGGGTGTCTGACTACGCCTCTGTTCTCAGGCGGTGAAGGGGTGAGCGCGGGAAGGGTCAGGCAATGTCTGGGGGAGCCTGGACTACACCCCCAGGAGGGAGGGAAGGAGAAGCCGCTGACCTCTCTGGCTGCTGGGGTCCCGTCTATCAGCCCAGGGCTCTCCCACGAGCCTCGGACTCCGTGGAGCCAGAAACTCACTCCCAGGCTGGCCGGGAGCCGGGCGCCGGCCCGTCACCTGCTTTCCGTCAGTCTCCAAAGCAGAACTGGCTCGAAGTGGAGGCCGGTGAGAGGGTCCTGGCAGGAGACCTGGGGACCCGAAGGGCAGGGGCCATGCCCCCTGGGCTTTGACATTCTGCACCCATGGCTTGTCTACATGCGTGTACGCTGCTTGGAGCCGGGGTGGGGGCGTTTGGGGGTTCAGTTGTATCATTTGGGTGTCATTCAGACTCTAGCTTCCATGTCAAGTTTCCGACCAACCTGGAGTATCGTCAAGTGACACCTGTTCATTCCTTGTGGTGCGTGAGCTCTCGCTTGTCACCCAGAGCGTGGCCTGACCACTTCTCCGGGTTAGACTGCCCCGGAAGTCACCACGCCCGCACAGAGCTTGCTGCTTCTCTATTTGCTGTCACCCCCTAACTCGTGGGGTGCTAATGCTCTGCCTAGTTATCCAGGTCTTCTTCTCTCCAGGGACCCCCCCAGTTGGCTGTTCCCCACCCACACCAGCTCAGGCAGGCGAGCGGGCTGGGCTCCTGGCCAGCACAGATGCGCCGGCCCCGCCGCGGAGCTGTCAGGGAAGGCTGCTCTCCGTGCCGGGCGGGTAGCCCGATGCCAGGCAGCCTCGACCTAGCTTCCGGGGTTCAGAAAGAAAACACCTTGGTTAAATGAATTGAAATGAAATTTCAAATAACTTATAGCTCCCTCGGTGTGCCTGGATTTTAAAATGACGGCTTGTCTCAGAGCACAGGTGAGCGGCTCTAGCAACCAGAAAACCAGCCTCAGAAAAGGGATTCATTTCTCTTGTGTGTACGAGGACAGGGCAGCTGCCATGTGGCCACCTTGGCAGCTGCAGTTACTGCCTTTTGCTGATTCTGCAAATGACTAATTAAATGCCCGGGAAGTTACGCTCCACCTTGATCCCGTCCCAGCCACGCCTCGCACCAAAGCCGCCTGGGAGTTGTAGTTTTTCCCTGCAAACTTGTGTCAGCTTAAACCCGCTAGAGAGATGCAGGGCACGGGGACTCTGAGGCTCCGTTTGGAGTCTTCACCACGTGCACTCTCCTAAGCCGATATTCAGCAGGTCCCCTTGGGGGAGTCAGCTTGTGAACAGAGGGTTTCAGGGCACATATGTTGCCTCAGCTGCACCTGACCATTTGCCCTGTCTGCCCTTGAGCTGGGATGCAGGTTTCTGCCAGTATGGACGAGCCCCATCCTGCAATTCCTCTGGCGTGTCGGCTCTGTCCACCTGGGCCTGTGTCCTTGCCAGCCTCTGGCTTGGCGGCAGTGAGGACCGGGGGTCAGTGCTGAGGACGAGGGACCTTCCCTGGCAAGGCAACTTGTTTGCTCTTCTTGGCAAGAATTTATGGCATATTCAGGCCTGGGAAGGCTTGCGTTTGCATTCGGTGAGGAAAGGCTGCTGCTGCCAGGAGGGCGCTCAGGGGTGCAGGGATGGGCCTTTGCTATGGCCAGGCCTCCTCTCCACCGAAGCGCTGTCACCGCAGAGTAGGCAAGCAGTGACCACAAAGTACTCTGTAATTCTGCAACTGTGAGAATCAAGGTTGGGGGCTGATTTACAGCTGCGCGGGCCCCACAGCTCTGTAAGACTTAGGACAGTCCTTCCAGGACTCGAGGGGGGTCCTGCCCACACTGGCTCT